AACCAGCATTCGCGCCCAAAATGCACATCTCAAAGCCAGAGCTCTGGCTACCTCGCGCTTGTGCATTCTGAAAAGTGCCTGCGCATCTGCTTTCCCGCAAAACATTGGAAAGCCAATCTCTGCGATCTAGGAAATCAGCTCATCGAAGGATGAGGAGGAACATCCGTTTAGACCTGAACGTATGTTGCTGCCGCATTACGGAATGCAAACATGACGCTTTGCATTGCGCGCCACTTTATTTTTTGGTCTAAACGGATATTCCGCCTCATCCTTCGCTGAGCTAATTTCGTAGATCACAAACATTGGCTCTTCGAGTGTTTTGGGGGTAGTAGACGCCCAAACATTTTTTTTTTTTTTGAGTGTAACGTTGGCTGCAGTTTCAGTCGTTGGATGCGCTAAATTGCTCGCAGTCGTCGACCCTCCACCTGATTTGCGAAAAAGTATCCACAGAGTCATCACTATACAGTGACTGACACCTGTGATAACGTTGGACGTGGCGCGGTCCCAGCATGTTGCTGTCGCTCTGCGATCAATGCGATTGCCGCCTTCACCGATAAGGACAGCGAATAGCGATCCAAGAAGAAAGAATTCACATATTAAGCCACACCCCATATTTTCAAGCTGTCCGTCATCCTGATCACGAATATATGAAGGTAACAAGCGCCAGGGGAAAAAAATTTTTTTTCTTTGATATTTAAATCGAATTCTTATTGTTTATTGTACTCGATCGTCTTTTCGTAAACCTGGTGTTAGTTTTGAAATCGCATGTTTTTTTTTACGTTGTGCATGCAATGAGCATGCTAAAAAAATGCGTGCATGTGGGGCATGGCAACACACTCAAAATAGCCTAGAGTATTGGGCTAAATATATTTTTTAAACTACTGAGTGCAATAAACAGCAAAGGTACTGTTTTACGATGACATTTTATTTTAAAATAAATATAAAATTCTCTAAAACGTAATTTTTAACCTGCAAAGATTTTGTTTTCGTTTTAATGAATGCTTCAAGTGCACAGTGCACGGAAACTAATAGTTGCACTCCGCATAACCTCAAGCTTGGGTATGCGAATTTTTGGTGTCATAGGGCGACATTAAGAACACGAATTCTTGTGCACAATCAGTGAAGATTCCTCAAAATCGCGAAAAGAAAAAAACGCCTTTGGACATTACCATAGCTGTGTAACTTCACTCATTCTCGGGGGTGGGGGGCGGGGGGGGAGCAAATTATAATTCTTATTCGTGAAAAAAGTGAAGCTACAAAATATGGCGATAGAGAGGAGGTGACCACGCCTACATCTCAAGTTAACTGTGAAGGCAAGCAACATTGCAAATTGAAGAACGCGCACAAAGACATGCTTCACGTTGATGCCTTTCTGGGTTGCCAGGATTCCTTCAAACGGGAATTTGACAAGTTAAGCGGCCACGATCAAGCCTTTTTTTTATGCATAAAATACACGCTACACCTCGATATCACTATTTTTATTTTTAATATTGCCATTGTGTCTTGCATTTCCCCCCAAGCAACACTAAGATGACGAATTCACAGCCTGTTTTTATTGGTCCGCCATCCAGCACGTTAACTATCATTCACCAATAAGAACGCAAAGAAGAAGAAAAAAAAAGATTACGAAGCAAGCAGTATAAATATATTTAAAAAAAAACACGCTCTTCATTTTATTATCAGTGAGTGATTATAATAGCCTCGCGTCTACCTCGCCCCAGAGAAGCTGGATAGTCCGTGACTGCGACGTTAGGGGAGATTATCAGCTAACCACAGGCTGCAGTGGATGTTCCCTCCCATGCCTGCGATTCGCATTGCGGCACTCTGCAGGTTCACCGACAAAACCTAATGTACCAGAGCAGATCTTCTTTTTCAGCCAGTATTATTTCTATGACCGCTGTTTTCAAATAACCACCTGGTTAACATTTTCACTTTTATTGTAATATGTGTGTGCGTCGATAAATATTGTTTTAAAGTTTAATGAAGCCGCGTGGCTAATCATTACTAATAAAAGATATACATTGGGTCTAGCAAGAGGACGCGACATGCACAAGTAAGCATACTTTGACATGTCATGTGTGTAGTCTTTCTAGTCCCAGTGTCGTTTATTGGGAATCCTGAGCAGCGCCGTTCAGTCAGTGCACGAAATACAACTGATTGGCGAAACCCCAAGCACTGTTTTTTAGAATGTTCACCGTACATCTAGGCCAGTGTTATAAATGCCACCACCATTCGATGGGTACTTAAATGTTTGTTTATTTTGGGTGCGTTTACTTTTTCACTGGGCATGCGCACGCTATTTCGGTCTGAAGTAAATTTTACCTCCCAAGGAAACTGATGGTTTAGATGACCTGAGCCCTCGCAAGCAGGAGAGTTCTGTGACCTTGCGAAGGCTTCAAATCTGATGATGTGGTTGAGTTTAGACGTAGAACAGATCCTTTGTTGACCGCCTTTTTGTCGCGGATAAACGAAAACGCGCCCTTCATTCTAACCAACAAATATATTATGATAAGAAAGCCTGTTATTTTGCATTCTAAAAATTTTGGAGAGTTTAGTTTCCCGGAAAACAACTTGGGAGAGCCAGACGCTGCATTCTACACACTCTCGGTAAATGATGGGGTTGAAAATATCTTCAGACTTATAAAAACAACATAACACGAGAAACTGGGCATGATGTTGCGACGCGCTTGCGTCATTCTAATTGGCACAGCAGTACATGCTTCTTGTTTTAGTTCCAAAGTTATTTTGATCTAATCTATTCGACAAGCTTCCTCCGTAGGTTGCAGAGTGTGGCATTCTCAATGGACATAGTAACCCTAAAACGTGAGGAAAAAAAAAAAAGAAAGAGGACGGAGAGAAGCGAAACTCTGAACGCAGCTAAAGATTTTTTTTTAAAAACACCTCCTTGAATAGGCCCACAAACCCACGAGAAGACACACGTCGCCGTAGGTCACATAACCATGGCAAAAAAGACCGATAAATAAAATAACAAAAAAGAACCGGGCCACCGAAATGAGGGCACTAGTTTGTAGTCTATGCTTTACCAGCTCGCCGGCCTACTTGCCTTTACTCTCTCTAGATTTGCGGCGAAAGAGAAGCACTGAGTTTTTTACACATCACTGTCGTGCATAAAACAGAGACAGCCAATAACGGCGACAAAGGAAAGAATGTCAGCGAAGTTTGAAAGGCTGGGGGGGGGGGGGGGGGGGGAGGGGGGGGGGAGTACTTTCAGAAAATAAAAAGGGATGTGCGTTGTGACACTACTCATGAAATTTTATACGCCTATTATCCTGTTCACAACGCATTTTCTCAAATTATATCTCATTCCGAGCTTCGTCGTAGTCATTATTTTTGTGGCCTCAATGGGCTGTGCGTGTTCTGCGGGAAGGTAATTAATATCACGAATGTAGTTCTGTATTGCGACGCCCTTCACCTGAAGGCGATAATCGGCAGGGACGCCAATTAGTGCGGCGTGTCTATGACTTTGGCAAGCCGGAGGGATTATCTGTTCATTATTTTCTACTAAATCCACCTTTAACCGCTCGCCCCCATACTCGCAGAAAAAATGAAGACTCAGCATCCGCCGTCGCTGGAGGACACCAAGGAAATGACGAGCTGAAAAAAAGGTACGGACCTCTTCCCAGTTCCCCTCCGCAATCAACCAACAAAATGTAGGGGTACACAGACCAAGTGTTGTTGCACGCTCCCTGTTCAAGCGGAGGTAGTGTCACTGAGAACGCAAAAATCCTGGACATGGCTGATAATATTTTCGCTTTTTGCCTCGTGATTACTTTCTCTGTAACCTTATCGACCAAATAAGTAACCTCATTGGCCGCCGAGCGATGCTAGCATGATTGAAGTCCACGTGGCCCGGCTCCTCTGAACCTGGCAGTGAGGATGAGGGAAATGGCAATAAAAAAAAAAAACGCAGGACGTGTTCAGTCCCGAGAAAATCATTATCGCTTCGCAGCATATAAGATTTCGAATTTCGGTAATAGGATAGCCGACCAACAAATCAGAGAACAAGAGGCCTCAAAATTTAAAGTCGAGCCTTTTGTTTTTTTTAAGATGCCAGGAACTGTACGATGCTACTTCAGGTTGCCTAATCATCTGCATTTCATGATGGAATCGTATAGATTCAATATCTGCATGCCCTATTAGAAAAAGAAAAATGTCGAGGCTGCTTGATTTCTATAAAAAAGCTGAGATGCCTAGAACGTGACGCGGAATATTTTTGTTCGTTCGGTTCTTTATTATTATATTGGGGTAAAGGGTCACATTACAGCGTAAAGCGTTTCCCCACTAGAGTTATTGGGAAAATTAATGTATACTTCTATGACCAGCAAGTATTTCTTCCTGTAGTTAGGGGGATTATTACGTGTTATAGCTGTGAGTTACCGTTTATTTAGCATATTCTTTTTTTTTTAATGAAAATGAGCCTTAGCCATTTTTCGTGCAAAAAGTAGCTGTCTCGTTGGCACTTACCAAAGGCCTTCCAATGGATAGCAATTCTATGACTTCTTCGCACTTTTGTTTTTCTGCACACAAGAACGAAGCGTGTCAAGACACGTTATGGTGTCGCATGAGCGTCACGTGATGTGACAGTGTCACATGACGCCATGTCGTCACGTGGCGGGAAGCCACGATGTCTAGTCAAGGTGTCACTTGATGTAAAAAGACGACGTGACGGTAAGTCACGTCACGTGTCACCGTGTTGTAACGATGTGACGTGACATCGTTGTGACACCATAACGGCACGATATCACGCATTTTCGTGACATCCTCATATCTTTTATTCATTTTAGCATTTATGATATCACATTGACACGGTAGAGTTCGACAGCATCGAGGCTAGATCAGAGGAATCGTAAACCTTAAAGCTGGGCGATCCCAATTCAACTTAAGACTTTAAATACAATTCACAGAAGGGGACACCTGTATACAATATTTAGGATCGAGACACGGCTCGTTTTGTACAAACGACCTCGTCGATTTTGCAGGCCCGAGAGTCCGAGCACCACCACGGCAGGCCCCGGCGACAGGCCCCAGTTCTACATCGAGGTGGACGCCAGCGCGATGGTGAACCTGAAGGCCGGCACGCAGTACACACTCGTGCCCGTCGACTCGGAACAGGCTGCAGCGGCCGCTGCCGCCGCTGCGGCCGCGGCCGCCACGGCTTCCGGAACCTCACTGCCAAGCTCCGATCTACAGCCGCCGCAGGCCCTGTGAGAGCCTCGAGCACGTCTGCGCAAAACTCTTAAAATCGCAGAATTTCGGTTCGCACTAAGAGTGTCATGCTGTGTGTATATTCTCAAAAACCCCCGGCGTGTGGCTCGTTTCAATAAGACTCCGCCCCCCGGAGAGTAACAACATCCCTATACGTCTCTCAGTACGGACGCAGCATTTTCATGAAGTCACGGGACGGAAGGACCGACCGCCAGACTCCCTTTCCCTTTAAATGACTGGCGCATACAAAAACAACGGCCCGCCTAATCCCCAGCTCGGCTCTGCATATTGTGCACTGAGCCAAAAGTTGTAATTTTATTCTAGAGCCTCCCCTACACTGGTTTACAATCGCGCTAACTATGAATACAAAGCGCGCTTCGCGGTTTTCACACGTAGCCACATACTTTAGAGCACGGAGTGTCGTAGCAATGCCGAATGTTGAAATAAAATGTTGCGGAACCACGAACCGGCACACTCCGGACGTCTAGTAATAGTCATTATTTGGAAAGGTCGGGTCGCACTACTGAGTAACTTTGCACAGTGAAAATAGTACCACGACTTCTTCCTGCTTCCCATTGATGAGAGTCGTCATACTGGTCATCTGGCCACCTGTGGTGCTAGCCATTCTAAACCAGTTCTCAACAAACGCCGACCGTAATGGCTTGCCGCGTTTTCAACTCGCATTAAAATAGTCTTCATTGCGACACTTATCTGTGAATCCTTATGTTGTTCCACATGCTCGCGCCGTGCTCACAGTCCCATAGCACTTCTCTTTCTAACGTGGAGCAATTTTTATTTTATTTTTTCTCACGTTCATTTTTGTCCAGCTGCTTGCAGAGATCGAGAAATTTGCTTACGTAATTGCTCCTTTAAAAAAATAATTTCATGAGATTTCTTTTTCTAATGGTGAGACTATGTTTGGTTACCGCAGTTATTTTGTTTGGCTCTGTGCGAATCGTCCAGCTTTTTCTTATCCGTTACATTCCAAGGGCTCTGGTGCCCCTCCCTTCCCGCGAAACACGTGCGACAGCCAATAGGTAAATCTATGTAGGAAGTTCGGCGAATGGCGAGACTTCAAGTATTTTTAGACAAAAGAAAACTGTCTTCTCTTTGGCAAGGAGCACGCCCTTTTACGTGCTTATGACACGCGCAGTATCAACGCGCGTGCTCTCTTTTGAAGGACGAAACATATTTTTAGCTCCGTTCTTCGCCGTGCATTGCAACGACTAGCATTCCCACGTGTTTAGCGCGAAAATAAATGTACTGTTTTTGTTTTTTCTTCTATGGGAGTCTGATTGGGACTTTTCATGTTATATTAAAGTATTCTTTTCTTCAATATATATGTCGCTATGTTTTGTGCAGCTCCTGGGGTCAAACAATGGACGGAAAAATACCGGACGAAGACGGGAACGGAAACCCAAGGGAAGGACCTACCAAGGTGCCTAACGATCATCTACCGTGTTTTCTTATTATACTCAAATGTCTCATTTCTTTTTCATGCAAAAAAACAAAAAAAACAAAAAAACAAAAAAAAACAAAGAGTTAGAAATGACCTTCTAATAAGTTAGCGCTCGATGCTTGTTATTATCGACTAACGTATATTTTTAGTAGACAATTTGCGCAGGCTTCGCAAATAATGTACAGTGACTGACAGCTTAAGAATTGCAGGGCGTGACTCTTACATTCACCCTTTTTTTCTTGGTGACTCATGACTAGTGACTTGGTGATCGTATCGGCTGATGCGTCAATTTCATTGGCTACAGACCGAAAATGTGGTGCATAAAGTTCTCTGCGGGACAGGCCTTCCATGTTTTCAGCTGTCAGCGAGAATGCAATGTATGCCGTTTAATAAATCCTCAAGTTTCGATAGCCTGTTGAGACTCTGGAGAACCAATATGTGTAACCTAACAGGAACCCATAGCAAATCTCGACGGTCTGAAGCCATCTCGACACGGTGCATGCTCGTTATTATTTATAATTAAGTTCACTTGCTACACGCATAGAAACAAATCCCTATCTCCCTGTTTTGTCTCGTAAATTGGAGGGCCGATATTTCAAATAAACTGCACAGATAAATATTGAACGTTCGAAGTTTAAAGCTTAGGTTTCAGCACTTACGTTTCTGATGGTCTGTCTGTCTAAAGAGTTGTGATAAAAGCCTACTGACGGAAGGAGTAGGCAACTACTATAGCAGAAAAAAGTAAAAGAAAAAAGCGCAATGAACATTAGGAGATCAGCTCTACAATTAAGACTTCAAAAGTTGTTATAGCATGTTTATTAACGATAAAACTATTTCTCACTTTTTCAGAATGACCACCATTTCGATCAATTAAATACAATAAATGTATAGCTTTTGCACCTTATCCATTAAAAACTCACAATGCTTTGCAGCCTACTTTGTACTACAATATGTGCGATCGTTTCTAAACACACAAACACGCTTTGCACAGGGGCCCCATTACAGCCGCCAATGCTGACCTTGTCTCAGTTAGATGCCGAGGAACTGAAGCGGACGTTCACGCGCCCCCACAAAGGACAACGCTGGGTAGAAGGACGCAGTAGAATCTAAAATGGTAATCACTGACCCTGCTGCGGTAACGATGAAGTGAAGTGAACGTAATAATATAAAAGAAATATCATGAGTCATTCCACTCTGTGAAGGTGGACGAGCAGCGAAGGTGTTTAGCAAACGACATAGACGTGACACAGAATTTTGAACAAAGGTACGAACACATTTATTGTCTCGATAGGTGGTCATCGTGACGAAAGGTACGCACACACAAGTCGAGGGGTATTGCCGCCCCGAGGAGCCGGAGAAAACTAGACACGCGCGAACGGACAGCCAGCCGGCAGAAGGAAAGGAAACTAGGCACGCAAGCGCTTGGAATGACGACAAAGAGAGGGCGGTGTGAGCCCTCTCTGAGTTTTTGTTGACGCCCACGAAAAATCCACAGAACCCTAGGTATAAAAAACTTCGCTGTAAAACAAGAATTTGAAGGTCGGTTATAGTGGAGCACAAGCACAGCAGCTTCGAAGCGTCTATAAAATATAGATTAGCTATTGCAAATATACATTTTGTTTATGACGCAGAGCCGTTAATTTGCGGCCCGTGAGTGACGCGTTCTAGAAGAGAATTTTAGAATATAGGAGGCCTCCACATATGAGTGCGAATAAAAAAAGTGGGGGACCCAAATAGAATATGCTAGGCGATACCGGCTAATAGAATGCGGGGCGCAAGTTCGTCTGCTTCTTTTCCAGGAGTCGCGGTGAAGTCAAAAAGACACCGAGCTCTGATTGGCTCTGATTGAAGTATAGTAGATCTGGTTGAAGTATAGGCCTCAAAGCAAGCTGCCTTGAGTTTTACCGACTATCCTTCTGTCAGAGCCAATCGGCGCTCGCCGTTTCGACGTCCACCACAACCTTTCTCTCTCCTGGAAAAGAAGCAGACGAACTTGCGCTCCCCGTAGGGTTTTCGCAACGCAGAACGGCGCGCTTGAGTTTCAAGCTTGCTGCAGCAATGCGGCTAACGAGCGTAATATTCAATAAGAAAAATACTAAAAAGACTTAAAAAATATGCGCTTAACAAGTACTTTTTGTTTAAATGTAGTAGACAAAATTGAGTCAATATTGGGGGATAAGTTTTTCAAATCCGGTATGGTTTGGAAAAAAAAAAAAAAGATTTCTTTCTTGGCTAATTGCGGAATCTCATTGGCGGTTGCGAGATAACAAGGTGCTCGGAATTTTCCACGCCATATGTTTCTTAAGCTGTCCGTTAATAGTATTGTTTTTGTCTTGCGCCTGGCCCGCAGGAAGAGCTTCCGGGCGACGCGTTCGGCCTGGACCAGACGATGCTGAATGGCTTCGAGCCGACTCCGGGCCAAGCAAGGAAGCACGAGAGAAGCCCCGAGACGTCCCCGGCCCTGGACGCCGACTTCGAGTCGTCAGCCCCCGGAGACTGCGCCGACAAGGAGATGACGTACACGCCGCTGGTGTCTGTGCACCAGCAACAGCAGCAGCAACAGCAACAGCAGCATGACGCCGCAGCCGTGGCTGCCGCCACGGCCCACCTGGTAGGACTTGAAACAAACGTGCACCACGCTGACCGAATTTTTGATCTACCCAAATTAAACTTATTTTCGGAATACGTAGGCTTCACTCTTCCCAGCCTGCTGTTGATTTCCTCTAAATTTATAGTTGCTCTTAAGAAAATGGCAACCTTCAAATGTTCCCACATTTGCAGCGGAGTAATGTTACAGGTTGTATACCTTAAAAATCGAGGACATAAAAAAATAAGCATTTATTTTTATATTTTTTATTTTGTTGTGAGCTTTCGCAGCATTCATTTGACATCGCCACATTTCGTTTTGCACCAAGCTCTACTGCCACCTTATTACAACAATTTACGTCACCTTTTCAATGTTGCCTGTAGAACTACTCTCCCTCTAGGACGAACCTTGAGAATTCAGTAAGTTCGTAAACCACGGGACTTGTAATTTGAGTTACTAGTTCAGATGTGCTTATTAATCCGTCGAGCCAGTTTCCAGGCAAAATAATAACAATCCTAATTTCGCCACATAAAAAAAATAAAAAAATAACAATATAAAACGCGAAAATAGCAATTTGCTGCAATTATATACCAGTTTTAGAATATCTAGCATTATGGGTCACTCCGAGGCAAAGCGCGGGCATACGGGTCACCAAGTGACGGGTTTCTAATCCAGGCTGGCGTGTTCATAATCTGACGGAAGGTTATTGCGGAAAAGAAGATGCCGCGCGACCGAGATTTCGGTTGCCCGTAAAAAAATTCCCAGGTGCTGGAAATGAATCCTCCGTCTTTCTGCTGGGGCGTGCCAGATGTCCTTCGTTGGTTTGGCACCTAAAACAAAAACATTAGACTTTGACCCATTTCACACGCTAGAACCTACACAAGTCAGGAGCTCACGCAGTGGACTCAATATTAGAGAGGCGTTAAAACGCTTATGTGCACGCCGGAAGAAGAAAGATGTCTGAGCACAAGGCCAGAAAGGGGGCCGGAATTCCACCCCGGCTTCCCCCACCTCCCGTCAGGGGCACTATAGAGTTGGACACTATAGTGTAGTTGGACACTAAGAGGAGCGTGCCTCCAGGCCTTAAAAACATGTCCGTCTGTAAGGACGGTTCCTCGCGTTCCTGTCATGCTGCGCCGTCTCACGGGGTATTTCAGAAATGGGAGGGATCTTTGGCACACCTGCTCCGTGCCAAGGCGACGCTGTTTAGGTCTTGAATCTCGAATTTGTCCTAGGTCTTGAATTTTGGCTACTGCCTTATGATGGGTTAGAATTGGTGCGCACTGTGCAGCATTTCAATTGTCGTATATTATGAACCAAATGAATTGGTGCGTAAATTAACGTTATACAGCAGCTGATTTTGTACAGACTGTAAGCCAGTTCAATCAAGTTAGATTACTGTGAAGCTTAGGGAGAACATTTTTTTCTCTAAATGCAGCTAAAAAATTTAATATGTAACCAAACAAAAAATGTTGCTTGGTGAGGAGATGGGAACGGCACGGGGCAGGAGACTAGTAGCGTTCTAATTCTGCTTATCTTTAAGTACATTCTAAGATATCCAGTGTTTTCCGCCGAGCACTTTGGATAACGAATTGCTGCAACTTGCGGACAAAGCTGTAGATAAGTCTACACTTAAAAAAGCAATCTGCGTTGTGACACCTAGTGTTTGGTAAGCCCGACAGAAGTAGTGCTCACTGTCAAAGCGAAGACTGTTTCGTCAGGAAAGCATATCTGAGGCCCTGTCGTTCACCGAGCTTTCTCGATAGAGTGCAGCGATTGACACTTCGTAGTAGTTTGGGAGGAAGTTTGGGAGAAAGGAGACGCACCGAATTTCTTCGAGTGTGGAGCATATTTTGACTCCCGAATTTCGCGCGGAAATAGACCATTTTAAAAATTAAGTTTGGCAACCTTCATTGCTATCACCATCTCAGTGTATGACATGTGTACTAATTTAAAGGCGGCCTCCTTGAGGTTTGTCAGGGAAGAAGTTGATGCTACTACCAAGCGAAGGATAAACGAAGCCTGTACGTTCCAGTTGTAGGTGCAACACGACGCACGAATTAGATACGTAGGCATACGCGTCTATTTTGGCGTGCGATCTCCCAATCAAACTCAAGTATTTTTTTATCAGAGCGCTTATGGGTGGTTACTTCGTCCTGGCAGTTCCTATGTTATCGCCATTGAAACTGAAACAAACTAAAAAAAAACTATGAGGTGAATGATGATCCAATTCTCATCTGCCATTGACGCTCCAACGTGACGATGCTTGATGAAATAGCTTTACAACCGCCATTAGTTTGTAGAAAGTAAAACTCCCTTTTAGGGCCACCAGGGGCCACTGAATTTGAAAAGGGGTCTGTTGTGATGCTCTAGATGTGCTGCTATACATATTAGGAATTGATCATCAACCTGCTGCGTGACGACTGCAGCACGCTCACATTTTTCAGAGGGTAATGTGGAGTGATGATGAGCGTCCTTGTGGTTGTTAATAGCCCATGACACGTTTCGCGTACAATTCTAGCACTCGGCAGGCTACGAGGCGCTTCGCTACCGTCATCCCTCGCCACCGATGTACGTGGCTCCCCCGCAGCACACGATGCAGCACCAGACGCCTTTCCTAGTGCATCCCAGAGGAGCCTGGACGCCGTTCCCTTCGACGGCTGGCCCCCAGGTAAGGCGATATTCTCTATCTCTTTCTTCCCAAGAAGTTGTCCCACTTGAGCAACAAGCAGCAAAAACCGACCCTAAGCAACCTCGAGCAGGTGTAGCACACACGCGGAGGTATCTTTGGCCGTCTTGAAGTCACTCGTGCTTACTTCATGAGAACTGTGATTCCCAGCCTACTAAGGGACCTTTGGCGTGCTTTGATGCCCGTACTTGAGGTTGGTGGGTGTCAGTTGTTGCTGTTTGTCACTGAAGTGGGACAAAACATATAGGATTGTCCCCAAGAGCCCATAAACTAAAATTTAAAGGCGTGCACGTCAAATATGGCGGCCGAATGGGACATTTTCATTCAATTTCAAATGTATTTGAACAGCCAATTTGATGTTTTCACGCTAGTGCGAAGTCCCGGACAAACTAGTAAACTTTCTACATTTAGGGACAAAATAATCACAAAGTAGGAAGTACAAAACAGCCAAAGTTTGGCAGGGTAGGGAACGTACAGAAATACCATCAGGTTCGGCTTGCTTGAAGTGAACTGGCCAGGAGCATTCATCCGAGAAAACGTGGAAGGAAGCGCTCTTGAGATTCGACAACATTGGCAAATTCGCTCGCTCGCGCAGCTTGGCAATGTCCGCATGCATTCTTCCCCTCTGTGGAAACATGGGCACAAATATTTGACACCCTTCTAATCAGCCTTGCCTAGGAAGCGGCCGAGCGTCCTCTATTTCCAGCGGCCATGCAGGCGAGACAGTGGGCACCTATTTGTCACGTGACTCCATTACCCTTCCATCGAGATAAAGCTATTTCGCTCAAGTGGGTGTGCTAAATAAATGGAAGAATATAATTACTGGTGCTTTACTGCAGAAAACAATGTGCTCAGTTTACCTTTGTGAAGCCAGACCTGTGTTACGTTGATGTTTTGGGTTTCCTTCTTGATCACGGTAGACTATCGGTGTCGGATTAATAATGCAGTAGAAGCTTCCCTTCTAGTACGCTCAACGTCTTCAATCGAGCTTGAGTTGCGCGTGCTCACGTGACACCAAAGTAGTATGAAATAAAACGATCGTGCTAAAAGTGGAGCTCCTATTACATTTCGAATATCCCGCCATCCATACAGCTTTCATAAGGATTCATCGAGAGGTCACATTTCTTAGCGCGGAGCCATTTAAATAGGTAGGCTTGTAAGGCTGGAGTTTTTGTTTTTTGACTCCGAAAGCTCCAACTCACAAATTACTTCTCCCCGTGTCAGTGGCGTCACGAGGGTCAGCGGCACCCGGGGTGGTAGCCCGCCGCGACACCCCCCCCCCCCCCCCCCCCGCTCTCACGTAACCCGCTGCGACCCCCCCCCCCCCCCCCAACCTTCCCCCCGCTCTCATGGCCCGCCGCGACACCCCCCTGAGCGTTGCACCCGAGATGGTCCGCCCTCCCCCCCCCCCCCCCCCCTCTTGTGAAGCCACTGCCCCGTGTTACTTCTCTTTCATACCTATATCATTAGTCTGTGACCTCAGTTTTCAAGTAGTAATCTCAGCACTTCTAAAATAGTTTTATGGTTTAAACATATCCCAATTGTTGTATTTATTCCACAAATTCGGCTCAAAAGCCAAGATTTGATGCAGTCGTAAATATAGCTAGAAGACTAAGATATTTTTATTCTGTAAAAGTATTTCGATTAGGTGTTATTTCATAAATAAAACAAAAAATCAAATTGCCGAGACCGTCCATCAAAATCGACCAGAAGATAGGTTACCAACTTGTTCACTGATCTCCCAACATAAGATGTACGTGTATCTAATCTGCTTTATTAATGACCATGCCAAAGTATGCTCTATGAAGTGCGAGTAGTGTAGAATCTGAAATTTCCGCGGGTTATGATCACAACGAACGAACGCGCTGGCGGCGTCCTCTGAGAGGAGCAAATGAAAACCAGATTAATTCCTGGCAGACCGCCTAGATGGCGCCACGAGTACTTTCTTCAAGCTATCCGAGTATTTTTCTCCGATCGATGGTCACATTGCTAAAATTATTGCTTAGCGCTGCGCCTTGGAGACAATATGGGTTTAGGATTGAACGCGATGACCAGAAGATTGACGTTACAGAAATATAATAAAACCACCATTAATGTTTTCCCGGAGAGGAATCACCGGATGGCGCCACAGTATGTTCGCGCGATTATTGTTTTACTTTCTTAATGTTTACACATTAAAAATTAAACCGCGTCCAATTTACTGCATATCATTCAAAGGGACAGTCTCTGCAATATACCATTTGCTAAATTACCCAAGTACCAAGGAGCAAGCTGCGAGTGTAGTTACACGCTTTGTACCTGGCGGCGTCTGCATCAGTAACTGTTATAAAGCAAAAGTCTAAAACAAATTAAATCTTGCACGTGAGTTCGTCAACGCTTTCTTTTGTTTTTTCTTCAAATTTTTAGACGAGGAAGGCAAGCGCGTGTGGAGCCTAGACTTACACTCTCAACCACCGTGCTCTCAACATTCTCCTTAGTGCTTGGGTAATTTAGCAGTAGGGAATATTCACTGGCGGTCATAGCTGTGTGCGCAGCTGCTGAGCGCGTGCTGAGGGCGAGTTTTCGCAGTCATTTTGTAACATGCATTCCGCACCGTCAATATTTCCGGTATTAGCAAGCTATACGCCTCGCAAGTGGGCTCATTTTCGTCTTCTGCGCATGAGAAAGGAAGTAGCGGTGACGTCAGAACGCCGAGCCCTGATTGGCTGATCGCGGCCCCCTATCTGAGCGTCGTCTGCTCCTTTGCAACGTCGTCTGCTCGCAACGTCGTCTGCGGCTGTCTTACCTTCCCTGCGGCTTTCGGAAATCGAGCGAGCTCGACTTCGCCTTTCAGAGAGGGCAGACGAAATAACTCAAGCGGTACGTTGTTTTTGTCTAACAACTAGCAGACGCGCACTAAGGAGGGAAGTCGAAGGACTCACTGGCGAGGTGTCCCGAGGCGCCGAGGTTTGTTTGCTAAGAACCGAGAGGTGAGCGTGTTGTTAGTGTCCGCAAGTTCCCTCCCAAATACTTTTTCCCTCCTTTCGTGTGCGGCGAGACTCCTCACTCTTTAACGGCGTCGGCGGGTTGGCGCAGTTAACGTCGTCTGCTTTACGTCTGCTAGTCAAAGCGATGGCTGCCTCACCTTTCCTGCGTCTGTCGGAGATTCACCGCTTTTTTACCGGCGAGAGTCACCGTTGCCTCGGAAAACAGGGAGATGACAAGAGGTAGAGATTAACCTCTTAATCTAAAATTGAGGTCAGCGATCAAAGTATAATACGGGAAGGGTTCATAAGGGTCGCGCGGGCATATTCCATTCAGCACGCCAGCCGGTCGTGGGCAGACGGTCGCCGAGTCGGAGTGCCTGCTAGGCCTATCTGCCGAGCTCGCTTGGTCGTTGTCGGTGGAATCTTGGCCGTTGGAGCTTTTCCCGGGTGTTTGTGGATCCAGCGTTCTTGTTCGTCGTGGTCTGTTTCGAGTGCTTTTTAGTTTTTTCTTGCTGCTTGAAGTCGGGACGCGTGAAAAGCGCACGTAGAAAAATAAACGTCCGTTGGTCGTCGCGACCGCTACGCTGTCGGCCATGCTGATTTGATCGTAAGAAGTGCGTAAGGCAGCTTCGGAGCTGTCGTAGGAATTCGTCGTAACCTGCGCAAAACAAGATCGTTTCGTGAATCTGGCCTCTGCGCTTCCGAAAGTCGCAGGAAAGGTAAGACAGACGATGTTGCGAGCAGACGACGTTGCAACGGAGCAGACGACGCTCAGATAGGGGGTCGCGATCAGCCAATCAGGGCTCGGCGTTCTGATGTCACCGCTACCCCCTGCGCAAGAAGCAGACGAACTTGCCCTCCGCATTAAGTTGATCTTGTTCTGAGCACGCGCCCTAAACGTCGTCCCCAAATATGGCGTCCAGTGAATATTGTCTATATGTATACTTATAGAAAAAGCTCGACAAATCAAAAGGCGATAAAAAAAAAACTAATAAAAAAAAACGATTGTAATGAGAAGTTTGCAGCGCAAAATGGTGTACGACGTTTGATGTGGCTTTGTGCCGTTATAGTTTTTCGTTCTTGGTTAAAATATTCTTGCGACCTCTTTATCTGCCGATATCTTTATCTTTTGTTCATAAAATGATTGGCTGCGGCCAATTGCTCCGTTACTCGGAGTGATTGCCCCTCCGATTTATTTACGGAAAAAAATACCGACAGGTAGCTTTTTTTTTTTTTTTTTTTTTTTTTTGCAGAATAAGAGCATTTTACGACAGCAAAGTGTAAAGGGCTTGACACATGCACGGCAATGCATCCGACAAGCTGCACAATGCGTTAAAAGTCTCTGAAATGCCGCTATGCTAATTGCTCGCTGAGTACCTCGGATGTCCTGATCCAAAATAATTCCGTTCCTACGTGCAGAACGACGAGTCGGTCGTTTCGTTGTCTGTATATCTGGCTCTTAATTGGGGCCTCTCCCGACAATCCTCGCAATAAACGAGTGCATACTGATTTAAATTTTGCCGTTCCTGTTTCCGTCTTCCTCCCAGTTCCTGACAAGGTCCTATTCAGCAAACGAGGTTAGCATATAACTACTACTCTTTTCGCCGACTGATACGCTTATGGTGTGCCGTGCGCCCGTATTTTTGATGTGCATCCATACATATACGCTCTAGACATGCGTGCCCGTACTTACATACTAAACGAATTGTGCGCCTGCCTTTTACATCTCTAAAACTACATAAAGTGCTCCCCAAACTTCATGCCGCCACAAAATTGTTCGCTTACGGCAGTTTTCGCGTTATTCCTAAACATAGCGGTCTATGTATCTGAAGAAATATTTTAAATATTAATTCAAATTTTATTTTGTCTTTGAAAAAAATACAGGCGACGGGGGTTGGAGAATAATCCAACTGCTTAGTTGGCTAGCCCCCCCCCCCCCCCTTTTTTTTTTCAATCCGGGGCGTGCAGATGGTGGCGGCGAAAAATAGATACTAATACAATAAAAACAGTACTTTA